GAAGAGGAGACATATACACAACTCATTTCACATAACCATATATCATCAGAATTCAAGCTAGTGTGCTGGGAGGGTGCGGGGAAGAAAGGTCTTGTTGCTAAGCACAGGACTGCGAGGCTCTGCCACTTCTCTCTTGCTGTAGCTCTGAAATTAAGGCACTAGAAACTTAACAGTTTGTAACTCTTTTAATCAAGTCCTTCTGGGATTCAGATGTGTCCTAGCTGAGCCGACGTATAATGGGCATAGAGTTGAGGACCACTTACTTTTCCCTTTCGACTTCTCTTTTGAATCTGGCCGGCCTCCAACTATAGCTATTAATTCTGCTTCCAGTTCACCATCCTCCTCCTTATCATTGTCCATCATCCCATCTGGAGAGAAATCCACTAGCAAACCCATCTAGAGACGATAAAAGACAAACCACGAGTCAATGGTTTCCTAATAGACAACAAGAGGCAGTGGTATCTAGTGCTTAGATCAAGGGACCAGGCGTCAGGATTCCTGAATTCTAGTCTCAACTGAAAGAGGGAGAAGTGTCATCTGATGGTTAGAGCAGGAGATAAGGAGGGGGTACTTTTTTCTCCCTGCTTTGGGATAAGAACATAAGAATGGCCATACTGGGTCACACCAACGGTCCATCCATGTACAGTATCCTGCCTTCTGATAGTGGTATGCACCACCTGGAGCCTGCACCGCATCCCAAACCCTCTTCCTCAGCCCTGAGCCCCCTCCTGCACCCAAACTCCCTCCCAGAGCTGCACCCCATATCCCCTCCTGCACCCCAATCCCCTGCCCCAGCCCTGAGCCCCCTCCTGCACCCAAACCCCTTACCCCCTCCCACACCCTAACCCCCTGCCCCAGCCCAGTGAAAATGAGTGAGGGTGGGGGAGAGCGAGCGATGGAGGGGCCTCGGAAAAGGCGGTGGGGCAAGGAAGTTTGGTTTTCTGCAGTCACTTCACCTCTGTGTGCCAATTTGCCCACTGATAACATGAAGCTAACAGGACACCTACTTACACTACTAGGCATTGTAAAGTTTAACGTATGTTCATAAAGCATTCCGAGAGCCTCATATGAAAGGAGCTACAGGCGTATAATCATATTACACAACCCGGGCTTTTTGACAGCTTCCCCTAACATGTGGTTAGGGTGTGTCTTGCTGTTTGTACAGTGGAGTGCACCTCACTGTAATATCAGAGAAGATTCAATTTTCATACTGCTCGTTAAGAAGAATCATCTCTCCCTCCTACAGAGACTGCTGCAAAGACTTAATTGCAGGTGTGTATGTGCTTTTATAGGAGCGTGTTGGTTTGCGCTTCCCAACACCTGTCTCTGCTTGGAGTTTGACCCAATCCCTGATAGGCGAAAGAATAAAGCATAAGGGAGGGGGCAGACTTTCACCTGAGACAGGACAAGGCAATACAAACCCTGTGTGCATGCACCACTATGTAAAAATCCCTGACAGATGGCAAAACTCAACCCAGTACCTCCTCCTGGTAGATTATTAAAAGAAAGACTAATGCAAGTACCCTAAACCTTCAGATGGCCTGAAAATGGGGAAGCAACATGCAATCCCCTCACCCTCCAAGCACAGTCAGATAAATTTTACAGTCTATCAAGGTTTTATAGCCAGTGAAATTGAAAGCTCTCACCAATTAACTGGTCAAACATTAATTTTATTGAAAGCAGGATTCAAGCGAAGGGGGAGGTTTAGTACATTATCCACACCTAATTGGATTCTGCCGGACACAAAGCCCTCCAGCATATGAAGAGAGGGAGGGCTATTACCATATGTCCCTGGACAGTTTGTCCTCCACAGACTTGCTCTAGATCTCTGATTTCGTCCATGACTTGCATGTTGTGACAATTTGGCCATTCTTAACATGCTCTTTCTGCAGACAAGTACTTCCATTAATAATTCGGTGCAGTGCCAGACAGCAGTACTAGTTACTGTCATCTGTGCCTCGGTACCGTAGTGACTAGAATACCATATACAATACCACTGAAAGTGATAGGTTTTCCAGCCATTCCATCTTTTAGCACATAGACAAGTTCAGTAAAAAGGGTGCAAAAGAAAGGTCTACAGAAGCTCAATTACCCACATCCCCCAATACAAGAGACCTGGAATAATGCCCAGTTTTATCCACCATAGACTGGAAATGCTGCAGGATGCTGGACCATCTATCCTACAGAGTGGCAATTTAACCTGGGATCTATGACAAGACATCAAATTTTATTCCTCTGAGAAAGTCACTTAGAAGCAATCAAGTTCCCATCCTTAGACTGGCACATGTGCTCCACAGACGAGTGAGTGGCAGGCACAGTGTGACAGAAAAATGAGCTTTGAAAAGTTAAATTGGTTCTTTGACATTTGCAAAACAGTATTTAACACCATTCATTTCAAACATCTTCAGCAAAATTCTAAATTCACCTCCCCAGTCATTCTAGGAAAATAAAGCAATTGTTTGACCATGCCAGAAGCTGTCAGAAAGGAGACCTGCAACTCACGTAAACCTGCTATGTGATTCTGATCTAGGTTAATAAAAGTTAAGAGCCAGAAACAACTCAAAAGATCACCCTGCCCATCGGCCTGTACACAGAGATTGAGAAATTTCTCAGATTTCTAGTTCACTATGTAAACACAAATGAACATTAACATCAGGAATTCTGCATCACGAAACTGGGGTAAAAGAAATGCTGTGCTTTAAGGAAATGTACACAACACTATTTTAAATTCCACACGTTACTATTTTCCTTGTTTACTTTTAATTCCACATTTTGGGCATTAGCAGAGGGATGTTGGGAACAGATGAATCACTCCTCTTCATCGGGTCCCATCTTTGTCCCAAAGGGCTAGGGTGGAGGTGGGGTATAATGATGATTTGTTTACTTCTATTATTTCTGGTTTGTCAATTCCCCTGATGTGATTTCTAAATGACAGCAAATCTGATTCTCACCTCGGGATGGAGGCAGAGGCCACTTTGGTTACAACCTGGCCAATTTTCTCACTGGCAAAACCAGTATTTTTACCATAAGGCCAGCAGGACAAAAATTTACCCACAATGAAAGAACCAATATTATTAACGAACAGCAACAATTTTCCATCTCTATAGAACTTTTCATCCTGCAGAAGCCAAACTTTACAAACTACAGGCCTGAACCTGCTCCCACTGAAGTCAAGAGTAGCAAGGTTGGGGCCTTTATACACACAAAGGTTACTTCAGGGATCACTTATTGGGGGGTGGGAGCAGCAGCCTCAGGGATTGGGGGAATTTAGGAAACTGACAACAGTACAACTACATTTTTTTATACCAAGACTCTCAAAGCAGATCCGAAGGAAGAGGCGTTTCCTCATACAGACAGGGGAGACGTAAAAAAAGAAACCCAGGACTCACCTGTCTGGCTTTGGCAGCACCACTGCGTCCTGGTGGTGGAGGCGGCCTCCTGTTCTTGTTCATTTCTTTTTTCCCCCCCTCAGACTGAGCTGAAAAGAATCAGTGCATTGGGTCAGATGGAGCTAGATGGTTACAATGGGATCACCCAGGCACTGTCCCTGTGTTTCCGCTCCACCCCAGGACAGTTTGGCTAACAAACCTCATTCCTTCCTCCTCCTAATGCTTTCTTCTTCCCCTCCTCTTTACCTCTCCCTACTCAGCCCTCTGACTCCATCCCACTTTCCCCCTCATACCCACTCCAATGCCCTCCTCTCCTCCACAGAGTTCCCAACTTCCAGGAGTTCTCCCACAAATCCCCAACACAGCACACACACTACCCAGATCCTTGCTTCCCTCTCAATCCAGGAGAGGCATAATGAACTATTCTCCCTGCCCATAGTGGTCCCTCTCTCTCCCTACCTGAACTATCCACATGCCCCCCCGCGCCAGCTCCTGCTCTCCCATCCCCAGCAACCACACCCTGAAGCCCCACAGAGCTCATTGTCCACTCCCCCAAAAGCCTACTCTCCCCAGCCCCAAGGCTTCTGCCACCACCAGCACCCTGCTCCCCCACCCCAGAACCCCCCCACTTCCTGACCCCTCCCCCTGGCACCCCGCTCCCCCACCCCAGAACCCCCCCACCCCCTGACCTCCTTTCCCCAGCACCCCGCTCCCCCACCCCAGAACCCCCCCACCTCCTGACCCCTCCCCCTGGCACCCCGCTCCCCCACCCCAGAACCCCCCCACCCCCTGACCTCCTTTCCCCAGCACCCCGCTCCCCCACCCCAGAACCCCCCCACCTCCTGACCCCTCCCCCTGGCACCCCGCTCCCCCACCCCAGAACCCCCCCATCTCCTGACCTCCTCTCCCCGGCACCCCGCACCCCCCCACCTCCTGACCCCCTCCCCCCGGCACCCCACTCCCCTACCCCAGCACCCCCCGGCCTCCTGACCCCTCCCCCCGGCACCCCGCTCCCCCTCACACTTCCTGGCTCCCCTCAGGAGCCTCGCTGTCTCCCCCAGTAGAGGGCTCCCTTCGAAGACACCCCAGGGGGAGGTGGCCCCATTCCCTCCTTATCCCCCCCAACTCACTTCCTGCTTCGCCCAGGCAGCTGACAACAACACGCCCTGCTTTACGGCCACCGGCACACCATTGTCGCAAAACCGGCAGCGCCGTCGACGTGCTTTACGGCCCCCCCGGCGGAAGGCGGAACCCGAGCTAGCGGGTGACCCTGCGCGGCAGAGCGCACGGGCTGAGGGGAGGGGACTACATTTCCCAGGAGACAACGCAGGGAGGGAGCTGAAGTGCGCATGTGTAATAGTGGGGGAGGCGAGACCTAAAGAGGGGCGGGGCTAACAGCCAAAGGTCGGGAGGGAATTGGGAACCTTAACCGGGGGGGCGTGGCTGAGAGAGAAGACGGACGAAACCTGGGCTGGGCCCCCATTAGGGGGCGGAGCTAAATGCCCGGCCAGGGAGCCGGGGAGCGCCGCGGCGAAGCGAGAGGGGCGGGGCCAAGCTAGGGCCGGTTGGGGAAAGGGCGGGAAAGGCGAGCGCGAGCCTCTGGCGGCGACGGCGGCCTGAGGCGACGCCGGCGCGAGCCCTGAGGCGAAGGGCGGGGCAGGGGGGTGAGAGAGACCCCGAAAGGGCGGGAAAACCCTAGTGGCACTGAGGGGAGCGCAGCATACCCCCCTTCTCTCCTGAGGTGACTATCGCGCTTGGGGGGGGAGGAGGAGGCCCACCACCACCCCCACCCCCATCCCCCGGCCTCAACAGACAGGCCGCAGGGCTGTGGCTGGGCTGCCCGCAGTAGCACCCGCCGCAGCCAAGCAACGGGTAACCGTGCGTTGGCAGGATGCGGTGGTGCCAAGGGGCCGGCTCATCCGGTGGAGATGGGCCGCCTCCGGCCATACCGTCAGGAGCTGCTGGTGCAGCGGGGTGACGCCAGGATGCCACCGTGTCACAGCGAGCGAACGACGCGCTGGCTGGCGGGCCCCGGCCAGGGAACGGATGTTCTGTCCCCGGGACAAACTTAGACGATCTGAGGAAACGTGGCCTGACTTGAGACGAAAGGCGAACCTTCCAAAACAAGAAGAAAAGGCGCACTTCATCGGACGCATCGGCTCCCGAAAGCTTCTGCTCGAATAAATTTGTTAGTCTCTAAGGTGCCACAAGTCCTCCTGTTCTTTCTGCGGATGCAGACTGACACAGCGGCCACTCTGAAACCTGTCAAAACAAAAGTCTAAATACAATTACTTTTAGGTCCATTGAAAACGCTTGCTTTTGATACATATGAAATGTTTCAGTTTGATCTTTGACTATTTTAAAGAGGTTTTTACTGTAAATTTTCAAAACTGAAAGCTGCTTCGAAACTAAAAATTGAAACTTTCTCTTCTGAAAATGTCAAAGCAGGATGTTTCCGCATTTTAAAAACTTTTTCCAGTTTTTTTTTTTTTTTCAAAACACAATTTAGCCAAAATAATACAAAACTTGGTTTAGTTGAAATAGCGTTTTCCAATGGAAAACTGTTCGGACCAAAAAAAACTTCAACCAGCTCTAGTGCTGGCACAATGTCGGCATACCAAGATGCCATGTGGTGATGAGGAGATATGCCATTCACAGCGACATCACTACATTGCATCGGAATGGCACAGTTTTCTCAGTAGCAGGCCCATACCACTGGAGATCGCTCCCTGCAGAAAACAGGTTTCAGAGTAGCAGCCATGTTAGTCTGTATTCGGAAAAAGAGAGACTGCTGAATTGGAATTAATTTGCAGACTGGAAACAATTAATTTAGGCTTGAATAAAGACTGGGAGTGGATGGGTCATTACACAAAGTAAAACTATTTCCCCTTGTTTATTTCCCCCCCACACACACAGTACTGTTGCTCACACGTTCTTGTCAACTGCTGGAAATGGCCCACCTTGATGATCACTACAAAAGTTCCCCCCGACCCCGCTCTACTGCTGGTAATAGCTCACCTTAAGTGATCACTCTGGTTACAGTGTGTATGGTAACACCCATTGGTTCATGTTCTCTATGTATATAAATCTCTCCACTGTATTTTCCACTGAATGCGTCCGATGAAGTGAGCTGTAGCTCACGAAAGCTTATGCTCAAATAAATTGGTTAGTCTCTAAGGTGCCACAAGTCCTCCTGTTCTTTTTCCCTGCAGAAAAGTGATTTACCAGGAAGCTGCCCACTCTTAGAATAGAAAGAGCTGCAAAAAGAAGTAACTCATTGCCCAAGCCTTCTGAGCTGGTTAAATCCTGATTTCCCAGCTCACTGGTAAAACTGCAGGTAGCAGGGGTGCATGGTGCTTGGCCTCTCTAATTGAGATCTTGAATATTTCAGTGTCAACTTTGTAAGGTGTCTAGATACTTTGATGATAGGTGTAACAACATGTGGGCAAAATCTTTATCCCTGTACCTGAATAATCTGCATAACTTCCCTTTGTCTTGCATGAGAAGACAAGGTGGGGGAGGTAATGTCTTTTTTTGGACCAACTTCTGCTGGTGAAAGAGACAAGCTTTTGAGCGACACCGAGCTCTTCTTCGAGACGGCTACAACAGCACTGCAAATACCTTCGTCTGGCATATCCACTCAAATACTATGGATGGAAAAAATATCTCCTGGCTTTATGTACTAATAATTTTAAAAATCCATAGTAAAATTTCAACATTTATATTTAATGTGTTTTGGCTTGTATGAAATAACGTACACTGAGACTCGTGTATCTTGAGCACTCTTGTGTTTTCCCCCATCTAGATTTACCAAGCCGTCAAGATGAATAAAAGGAAGAAAAAACTACCAGGTAATAATAATAAAATACCAGGGCCCAGTTTGGTGCTACAAGTGGGTGTGAGATGCCACCATTTATTTCTTTCCCCCCAACCTAGCAGAGTCCAGGGGTGTATTGAAGCCCGCTAGTTTCATGTACCTGGTGCTGGAGAATAATAAGAGGGCTTCATGTTTCTAAAACTGAATTGGCTCTTTATTAAGATAATTTTTTACAGAGATATTGTCTACTCTAGCATTCAAACCATGCACAGGCAGACTGGTTCTTGCCTGGTGTCTCCTCCAAACCTTTCCGCCCTGCAAAATGTGTTTCTCCATCTCGATGCAGGTTGCTACACTAGTGAGAGGGATCTGGTTTCAAGGAGTTTCAGGGAGTACACACACTCATATTTTAAACAACTGCACAATCTATTGTGAGCCACTGCTTTCTCATTTTGGCACCTCACATGGGCAGATCTTACTTTGTGGGTGGAGCTTAGAAGAGTACCACCACCCGCAGGCACCGGCTTCCTCCAAGCCCCGGGGGTGCTTAGCACCCCTGCTCTGCCCCATACCCATGCGACCCCTTCCCCCAAATGCCCATACCTGCCCTGCCTCTTTCTGCCCCTGCTCCACCCCAGGCCCCACCCCCACCCCTTCTCCCACGTCCCCATCCCCAGCCTGCCCCTGCTCCACCCCTGGCCTGCCTCTTCCCACCCAGTTCCGCCCCCTCCCCAGAGCAAGCCCCCCTGCACCCCCCCAGTGCCTCCTGCATGCCGTGGAACAGCTGATCGTGGCAGGCAGGAGGTGCTGAGAGGGAGAGGGAGGAGTTGATCGGCAGAGCCGCTGGTGAACGGGGGTTGGGGGGCAGTGGCTGCTAAGCACCCACTGATTTTCTTCCGTGGGTGTTCTAGCCCTGGAGCACCCACGGAGTCAGCACCTATGTCACCACCGTTTCTCCTCCTTTCATCCTGCTGTACAATACTTTGCATTTCTATAGCAACTTTCATATGAAGATCTCAAAGTATTTTACAGATATTAATTACATTTACAACCCCTTTGTGTGGTAGATATCTATTATTATCCCTGTTTTGCAGATGAGGATATGAAGCACTGACATGTGCGGTAATTTGCCCGTAGCCACACAATGAGCCATTGACAAAGCAGGGAATAGCACCCAGTTGGTTCCTCCAGTTCCTTTATAACACTTCCTCTCAGGCAGTGCTTAATTTGTAAAGAAAGAGGTGCCTGGGCTCAAACAATAACAATGGCATCCTCTGCACATCATGACCTCACATGCACTGTACATGCGAGGTCACACTTTGTATGTCAGTGACAGAAGAGGTAAAGCTCTACTCTCAAGTGGTTTTGTTTTAATAAATATTTCATGAAGTTTCTCAGTAGTCTGCACTTAGAGACCCTGGCTGTTTATCATGTAGCAAGTGCATTTCTTCTTGTTTGGGTACACAAGAATTCACCATTTGCATTGTGTGTTCCTGCTGTCTCTCTTGATTGCATTTGTTCTTACTCCATAGGATATCAGAAGGGAGTCTGGCCTGGTGCCTCTTAGTACAGTTGGTAATAAAGGACTAGAGTTGATGTGGGGAGCACAGTCTGCATTTCTTTGGAAAGAATCCTCATCTTTTTACCCCGTCTAACTGAAACACACTTGAAGAATCAATAAATGCTGCATCTTTAAAAATCCAGCACAGCATGACAGTCCATTTTAAAAACACTCTAGAATCAATCAGATCTGCTTAGGTTCTTTTAACTTTGGTGGAGAGTATGGGAAACTGGTACTCCTAGAGAGCTAGCAGCACTTGAACTCTCTATTCAAAGATCAGATGGCAGTGCATGTATGCAAGAGCAAGCTTCCTGCCAATGCACTGCAGTAAGGACCTAAAGGCAAAGGGCCTGATTCTGCTCTCATTTACACTTAGGCTCGGAAGGATTAGATTTTTTCAATAAATGTCAGTAAATGTCTATTTCATTGTAATTTGCAGTGTTGTAGCTGAGTTGGTCCCAGGATACACAAACTGATGAAAAAATATTTCTGTCAGTAATAATCAAAATTTACAGAAAGGCAAAGTATGAAAAATGCTGCTTGAGAATTTATAAGTATTTTATTTATGGATATTTACTTTGTATATTTTGATAGGTGATGTTGATAATTTGTGTTTTAATAGTTATAAAGTTTTAATTTTAAATCTATGTCTATTGTCATCAAATAATTGTCTGACCACCTTATAATTTCCTGCAACTGTGAACATTTAAATCAATAAAAATAGAAAAAAATACTTGAAACCTGTAACTTTGCACAATGGTGAAAATTTAAATAAATAAAAATGCTTAAAAATTAAACATTGGTATTATCTATCAAAATTATGAAAAAATAATAATCAAATTCTGTCAAACCTATTTACACAGTTGTAACTGCATTGACTTCAACAGAATTGCTCCTGATTTACACCATTGTGTAAAAGAAGAATTGGGTCCAAGGAATGACATGACCAAACTAAGCTTAACCGTATGGGTGATAATTTTTAGTTCTTACTGCTGAACTAGTTCAGTCTCAGCTCCCTCCCCTGAGTAGAACCTGTCTAATCTACTCAGAGATTGAGTTTTGTCAAATTATACATTGTGGCATAATTATTATGTAGTTTGTGTTATGCAGCTTTCTGGTAGGTGGAGGATCACTAGAGAATTCTTGTTCAGCCTCTCTCAGCTAGCAGTGCTTACAGGTTTACTCGAGAAAGGAGACCTGGAATTTGACCACTGCATAATTAACTTTTAACACTGGCAACATACATGAGGCTTTCTTCCAAGATGCAGAGGGGGTTTCAGAATTCCTTTCTTAGCATTTGTTTTCCACTCTGCCAAATCAGGAGGTGTCCAAAGTGCAGCAAGTGGGACAAATACAGCCTGTAGCCTCTTAAAATATCACTCATGGCTAATCTGCTTGCAACCTCAGGATGAAGACAAACATGGACAAATTTAGGTTTTACTGGTCATGAATTTATCCAACCCATATGTTTTATGCATTTACTGAGAAAAATAAAAGTACCAGGATCTTTATTTAAACTGATGTAAATAATGTACTGAACTGGCTAAGGCACCACTTCCCTCAACTGGGATCAGAAGTCCTCTACTGTGTATCATAGGTCCTATATTGCTAACAACTAAAGAAGATCCTCCTTTAGCTCAGATGGTAGAGATGTGTGTTTCTGTAGCAGGAGGATATAAAATTCATCTTTGATATTGTAATTAAGCTCCTGATCACCATGATGTGCAGGATAGTAATTTCTGTGAAGTTCCTCGGATGCTCAATGAATTATTACGATATATATAAAAAATAGGTTCTGGCAGCTAGCAAATATCTAATGTAGTTTACCTCAATGTTGCTAAATCCCTGTGCCACATCATTAAGAGGATTACTGTATACAGTTAAAGGGCCTGATCCTTAGTTACACTAAAGCCAATTTAAACCCCTCTGGCAGTGTAAAAATGCTGCTTTACACCCACTTTAAGGTACCTTAACACTGCAAGAGTGCTGCAAAGGGTCCTTAGCAAAACTGACTATCAGATCCAAAATCATCTGTAGCATTTTATGTTGTGTCACAGACTGCATTAGAAATTTACTGTTAGTTTGACATTTTTATGTAGCCACAAAAATTAATGCAAAACCTGCACTAATGACCACTTGGTCAAATATATAATGATACTTTGAGGTTATTAAGTTTCCATTGATAGGGCCTGTGGAGTAATTGCCACAGCTCTCAAGCTACAATGTAACTGTATAAAATTGCACTCTTTTTCTGTTCTAGATGAGAGATGTAGTGTAATTATTCCTGTTGCATAGAACATTTATCAATTTGACTTTTTAATGATTTTTTCCCTTAAAAGAAGAAAACAACGAACTCAATGTTTCCAAAGCAAAAAGAAGCCTTAGGGAGAACTCCCAGCTGACAGCAGAGAATAATTTTGAAATAGCAATACCTCAATCCAATGATTCCAAAAGAAAATCAAAACCAACTACAGCAGGAACAAAGCAGGAATGGGAAGAGAACAGCCAGGAAAACACTGAAGCTTTGGCAGTAAACTTGCAAACAAGGTAATTGAATTTGTTCCCCATGAAGCACTGGAATCATCAGACATGAGTTTCTTGGATGATAGAAGACAGAGATTTGGAGTAACAAAGGCGGGGGGGAAGTTCTCACTGTAGAGTTGGGTGAGCGGGATGAATATGGAGAAAGACTTCCTTTTTCTGACTCCCTGCACATTTAATTTTCACTGTCTTTGATCACTTGCACAGAATTTCTTTCACATACGATTTCTTTATAGGAGAACGTTCACTTGAAGCCTGAGGGCCAAATTCTGCAGTTCTTTACTCAGGCAAACCTAATAAGTCAAGAACTGCAAGATTTGTCCCCATGGACCTAATTTTCAGAGTTATTAAGCATGTATAACTCCAAATGAAGTTATAGAGTTGTGCTGGCTCAACACCTCTCAAAAATCAGGCCCTGTATTTGTACCAGGGGTTCTCAGACTTTTGTATTGGTGACCCCTTTCACATAGCAAGTCTCTGAGTGTGACCCCCCTTATACATTAAAAACACTTTTTAAATATATTTAACACCATTATAAATACTGGAGGCAAAGTGGGATTTGGGGTGGAGGCTGACAGCTCGCAACCCCCCATGTAATAACCTCACGACCCCATGAGGGGTCCAGACCCCCAGTTTGAGAACCCCTGATTTATACTGTATATGTTTGCTTCAGTTTTACTGGTATATATTAATACTTTGTGCTTCAGTAGTGTCTTTCAGTTGAGGGTCTCAGAGTGTTTTACAGATAGTCTCACAGAATTCCTGTGAAATGGATCCATATTGTTATCCCCTTTTTACAGAAGGAAGAACAGGCCCAGAATTATTATGATTTGCTCCAAGATAACATGGCAAGGCATTGGTAGAGCTGGAAATAGAATGCAGGGGCCCAGAATCTGTGCTCTAACCTCTCCCTAGGGAATTTATTAATTTGTTAATTTACAGTTTCTAAATGTTCATGCTGTTGTGCTCTCTTTTTCTAACCAGCTCAGATGATGAAGAAAGAAAGACTACCACTGAGCTGAAACAGTTAAGTCAGGCAAAGGAGTTTATTTCTCTTCCTTTATCACAAGTAAGTCTGTTCTAATGGTGTGATGCAAAACTAATATTAGCAATAAATTGTGCTGTGGTCTGCTAGGTGCTGTCTAGACATTCGTCTGTTAGTGAATTCCCTCCATGGCACAGCTGGATTTGATTCCACTATGTAGCTGGATTTGTTGGGTGTACATATTGTTATCTCCTACACCTCAAACTTGGATGCTCATGGTTTGTTGGCAGCAGCTTTACCAAAGCAACATGCATTAGAAAAAGGTTGACTTAGTAGAGATGCTGCCTATGGACCACACATTCATCACAAGACCTAAATACATATTAATAATGTGCAACTAATGCAATCCTCTGTTCTACTGTAAAGTAAATGTTAAAATGTGTGAAATTATGTGAAATGCATTCTTTAAATTATACAGCTCTGTTTTCTATGTTCAGGCAAGTAGTCTGTGTGAGTTTAGATTCAGGCTTGACATGTTATTTGGTAGATTGAAATGGGTTGGTTTGCATTATTTAACTAGACAGGATTATAAAACCAGATAAATTCATTCCCTTGTTATCTTTCAAATCAATAGTGAAAGTGTCTGATCTGAGGGAGCTCCGGTCAGGGTTGCTCAGAGTGCTGTATTACTTAGTACATTTGGTAATAACCACCCTTTACAGTCATCATTATTGAACTTGGTTGTAGAATTCAGCAGGGAAGTTTGTGCCAGTCTTTGCAAAACCAAAGAAAGGTTTGACTGAAACACCTGAGAGAAATGATGGAGAAGCAGCAGGGTTTCAAACAGAACAGGTACAGCACTGGATCATCAATTAACATGTTAGACAGCCCTACCAATGCATGTGCAGTTATATACAAGAGCACCTACAATTTACAGGCACCTCTTGTTATATGTTGGAGAACATTTAGCAAAATAATTCCTTTTGACTCTAAAATTTAAAGTACATTTTATTTCATATTAGTAATTAAAGATGAACATATTCCATGCAACACAGTTCAATGGAACAGTGCCCAGGAATGAACCCCTTTGGTTCTTCCAAAAGTTTTGCCCAGATATGAAGAGAATGAAAACATTATGCATGAAATTTTCAAAAGCATATAAGTGACTTAGGAGCCAAAGTCCCTTCTTCAAAAGACACTTAGGGTTGAAGTCCCTTTCAATGAGACTTAGAGGCTTCTAAGTGTCAAAGTTACTCTTAAAAATGAGACTTAGGCTTTTAAGTTACTTAGGCACTTTTGAAAATGTTTCCTGATGTCAGTAATATACAATAATTGACCAGCCAACAAGATATAATAAATCTTGGCTCTGCTTATTGTAGAACCATAAATATGAAGGATGGGAAAAAAACTTATTAGGTCCATCTACTCTAGTCTATTTCCTCTTAACTAGGCCTGTAAGATTGCTATGCAATCTCTTTTCTAGTGCTTTGTCTTGTTCAGTTTTAAATGACTCAACGACAGGGTTTCCACTAAATCCCTTGAGAAATTATTCCATGGTGTAAGTTGGCTCAGCAGAGTGGAACAACTACTATATATTCCCATGCAAATGGGAGTAATAAATCCAGGAGGACTAAAAAAGGGAAAGCTGTTCAGTGGGTGTATTTAAAAATCTTTCTGAATTCTGTGAACTGCGGCACAGTCTGCTGTTGGCAGGGGTCCTTGGGAGATTCATCGGGCCTCAGAAAACTGTTCTGAGAGAGAGAGGACAAAGCCTCATGCAGATCCTGGGTCAGTATATATTAAACTCAATGGAACTATGCCAGTTTACACCATCTGAGGATTAGCCCCCACTACTTTTCATTGTCTGCTAATGGACTTTCAGACACCTTTGGGAACAACTGATTATTATTAACTTTATCACATACTTACATATAATTTTCACCTTTGTAAATATCCTCTGAATTCAGTGTACAGCTCCTATAAATTGCCTGGTAATTGTTTGTATAGATTGGAGTAGAGATCTATAGACTGGAAAATACTGACGTTGCTCTGTTATTTTCCTTCAAGACACTAATGATGCACAAACTTCAGGAAATATTAGAGTCTAATCTCCAATGCACAGACAGCAATCCGGCATGTGAGTCCTCAGAAGCAGATATGCAGGAAGCAAAGTTCCCACCAGAATCATTTCAGTTGATGGGGACCAAAGGGCAAGAAGCTGGAGATATGGTAATTTCTCACTGTCAGAAATGTACTAGTGAAGGGCTGGATGTTAAAACTCAAAACCAGCACAAGATTAAAAACATAAGCAATGAGGCTGCTATGGTAGGTGATTCTCACCAAGGAACAGGGATAGCATTTAATTTACAAGAAGACAACTGTGACAAAAACACCTTCGTGGAACTTGTTCCCTTATTTCTAGATACTTTATATCATAAGGATGCAGGCAGTCATGAAAACAGGAACCTATCTCTAGGGTCACTTGAATGCCCCATTGAAAAGGATGTGAGCTGTAGTATACTAAGAGAACACAGAATTTCTGACAGAGGTAAAGGCAATCAAAATGAAGACCTTCTGAATAGTTGCCTTGAGAATGTGGACCAAAATAAACCTACAGAGGAGGATGAAATTGCCATAAAATTAGACAACTTTGTTAAAGAAGAAAAAGAGACTAAAAATGTTCATGGGGAAGTCATAGATCTGATGGATACAAGCATCAAAAGCAAAATGGAGAGCAACCTAATTAAACCTCAATTTTTAGTAGATTTAAACATCACCACAGATAAAGAAAAGAACAACTCATGCACAAGGGGCAGAGGAGAAGAGCAAAGCAGCAGTGACAAAGGAGCAGAGCAGAACAGTCCATTCAAAGATGGCAAAGCTGCAGAACAAAACAGCCTTCACAGCAGTGGCAAAATTGCAGAACACAGCAACCTGTGCAGCGCTGGTAAAATTGCAGATCGAAGCAGCTCAAAAAGCAGTGGCAAAGCCACACAGCAAAGTAGTCCATGCATAAGTGCTGAAGTTGTAGTAGAGCAAAGAGCCAATTGCAAAGTCACAGAGAAAAGCAGCCCACAGAGCAGTGGCAGAGTCTTGGAGCAAAAGAGCCTGCAAAGCAGTGGTAAAGTTGCAGAGCAAAGCAGCCCTCACAACAGTGGCAGAGTCTCGGAGAAAATCAGCAGTGACAAAGACAGAGATATTTCTGGGAAGGATTTTCTTAGTAGTACTCAATCCATGATTGTTGATCTGAAGATGGATGTAGAGATTACTGAATCAAAAAGCATACAAGCTATTGAACCAATCAGTCTATTCTGCCTACAAACTGAAGGGTGTGGTCACTCAGAGTGCAGCAACACCTCACTGCAACCAGCTTTTTACACTGGAGAGAGTGATACAGGCAAAGAAGAGGCAGAAAAGAAGAGTGAGACATCTGTAGGCACCAGAGAAGAATCTGACCCAAATGCTTCAACCCTCTTGATTGATAATAGCTTTATATGTGAGAACAATCAAGAAGACTACATCACTTTGGAGTGGTGGAAGGAAAATGGAAATGAGAAGGTGAGGCCTGATAGGAAACAGTCACCAGTTAGTATCTGTGACGCAAGACCTAATTTATTAGAAGTGAAACAGTCAAATACAGAGATTGTTCCAGAGGCAGGAATAAAATCTTCTCCCCTTTCATTTGGCCTCCCGTTGAATGTAAAAAACAATGAAGAAATGGTCATTTGTGAGAAAAATAAGATGGACCTTGTTCCCATGAAAAATTGTCTTTCCCCTATAGATGTTCTTGAGCAACTGGAAAGAGAAAAGGTGATACTCAATCATAAAAGAGAAACTGATGCTAATTCAGGTGGCTGGAAATCTCTTTCTGCAGCAGATACAGGTTTGCCTAGTGGTGTACTGAGGGATCCTTCCCCTGTGGACCAAACCTGCTCACCTTGGGAAGATGCACTTTCTCTGGATCTAGAATTGTTGCCTGACAACCAGTTACAGAGTGTCCTTGAAGATAACAGAATTGAATTTTCACTGCAGCAGGTAAGTTGATTGTCAAGTTACAATAATGTTGAGCATACATACCCATTTTGAACTGAATTGGGCCCACCTAGCATACAAAGGAAAACAACATTCAAAATGCACCTGGCAAATGTGGAATTTTATATATAGATGCAAATTTTCTGGCTTCTTTTATGATCAGTTTATAGTGTACATTATGAGATTTTATTAGGGCCTACCTCAGGCCCCAATTCAGCAAAACACGTAAGCATGTGCATAATTTTGAGCATGTGAATAATCCCATTGGAAGTCAGAGGGACTGTTCCTGTGTTTTGTGACAATTTGGAGTATCTGCTGATAACTTACAAATTCTGGTTGATTTTATGAAAATGCTGTGTAACTGAATGCCCAGGGAAATGGGGTTGACCAAGTTTGTCTGCAGGGAAGGGGACAAGGGGTTTGAACAGTGGAAGTTCCCCAAAACGAGAAAACAAAGAAACGAGGTGTTAATACTAGGAGATAAAAACTCATAAAGCCAGAAAGGAAGCTTGGGTAGGAGAGAAGAACAAAGGCTCATGCTTTCATAGGAGTCCTTTATGACTGAAGGACCAGCTGAGGAAAAAGGAAGCTAGCTGCAGGAGAGAGACTATATGATTTAGAGGCAAAGCCATGTGGAGGAGGGGGACACCTAGAGGACTCTGACCATATCCCAAAGAACACTCAGGAATGGTGAGAAAACTGAGGCAATGTTTTATTATTATATCTGTATATCTCTTGTGCTGTTTAAATTGTGTTAGAAATCTTTGCAAAGTCTATCCAATATATGCTTCAACTATCGATTGTCCCTCAAAATGAGGGTGCCCACAAGGCTGTAGCTCTGGGAAGGTTGTGTGTATTGAGGAGTCTGGGGAGCTAGTCACAGAGCCTGGGCAGTTATACCATTGGTCTCAGCTCTCAGAATAGAGGATCTACACCTGAGAAAGTGCCTAGAAACCCAAAGCCAGAGGCAGTGCCTGGACTCTACTCAGACTTAGGAAGCTTAAAAGCATGAGTCCAACATGGTGGGACCCAAACACTACAGCCAGGTGAGTGTACAGAAGAGAGAGCTTGACTAGAGCTGTGACATGTTTAAAGTTAAATGGGACTCCTTACATGCTTAAGTGTTCTACTGAATTGCGGCTTAAATATAGACCCATTGGGTAAGGCATTTCTGATAAGGGCATTTATTTAAAATACTTCTTTTAAGAACAGAATCAACCCCCACACACTTTTTTAGCCTTGGTGGCATTTGTTTAAAACATGCTACCTTAGGGTAGAACTATCCAAAATGCATCCTGCTGGCCAAATACAGCGTACAGTCTTAAAATGTAGCTTTTGGCCACATTCCCCCTAAATGCCAAAAGCTGCCGGGTGAGAATAAAACTGATAAACAGGCAAAATCTTCAAAAGTGACTATTACTTTTGTGTGCCTCCATTTTTGGTTGCACAGCTTGAGCTCTTTAGGATTGGGGTCTAAACACAGCCTTTGGGCTCCCTAAAAGTTGCCAATGAGGCTTTTAGTGTAGCACAGTTTGGGCAACTCATTAAAGAATATACCTGCATGAGAGTTCTGCCTGTACTCATCACTGATTGCTTAATAACTAATTTATTAATTATTGTTATTATTATACCAGGATGTGCAAACTTTGTGCAAAATAACAATAGGATTTCCTCTTTCCTGGTTTTAATTTGGCATGGAACATGAGAGAGGGATGACTACACATTGGAATTCTATTCTATACTATTCTATTCTATATAGGTTTTTATACCACATTCATCCCGTAATATCTGAGCACTTCCCAGTGGTGCATTAAGCAACTTCTCGTGGTGTGTCAAATTAAATCTTTATACAGAGCATTTCTCTATTTTTGAATTAACTTCCTCCCTCTCAGCCATTTTCTGTGGATAGTAATTGCAGTCCTTCCATCCCTGAAAGTGATCTGTATCCTGAAAGAGAACGGCGTGGTCCAAACATACCAGTCCCTATCATTAATATATCTTACCCAAACAAGCTGCAACCCAGGTAGGGAGACTTCCTACTGAGCAATGTGAAACCGTATTTTCAATATGTTCCTTCCATTCATAGATTCATGCTCTGGACTAAGCAATATTGCATTTCACCAGTCCAGGACTGTACATATTAATCCTGACTACTGGAAATAGAATAACTGTTATTTCAATGGACTTCTTTGGTACTAGGAACATTTCTGGTAAGAAGGGATAACAAGATTCAATTGTATTTCAAGCTATCATGGAAAGAATGGAAAGTGTGAGCTGGCTGTAGTCCTGATTTTGGAGCTATACAGACGCTCTGTCATTGCCACTCTATATGATAAGTATCCATGTATAAATATGTGGGTACTAGCCTCCTTATGGGGGGGAGGAGGTGTGAGATGGCATAGTGGATTTGCATGCAGAGGTGTGCTCTACACATGGATTAGAGTTGGGGACAATCTGGAATTGGGCAATTACATTTTGCCTACCTAAAACTTCCCTTGCAGTTTTAAATGGATTTAATATTTACTTCCTGCCCTAAACTATTGCATAATGTTGCCGAGGGCTTCTAACTGCTTTGTTCCATACTCTTCTGGAGTGGGTGGACAAAGTCATTACTATAGTTTGCAAGGCATGATGGAATCCTTTCAGATGAGTGATGTGTAGCAATGTGAGATACTAGTTTCTGGTCAAATACCAAATATAGGGAATTTTTCATTGTATAGGTAATACAGCAGGAATCGGCAACCTTTGGCATGCGACCTGCCAGGGTAGGCCCCCTAGTGGGCTGGGCCGGTTTATTTACCTGCTGCGTCTGCAGATTCAGCCGATCGTGGCTCCCACTGGCTGCGGTTTGCCACTCTAGGCCAATGGGGGCTGCAGAAAGTGGTGTGGCCCAAGGGATGTGCTGGCTGTCGCTTCCCGCAGCCCCCATTGGCCTGGGACAGCGAACTGCGACCAATGGGAGCTGCGACCGGCCGAACCTGCGGACATGGCAGGTAAACAAACCGGCCCAGCCCACCAGGGGGCTTACCCTGGCGGGCCGCATGCCAAAGGCTGCCTATCCCTGTAATACAGTTTTCTTCCTAGAACCTCATTCTGATTTTTCTGAAAATAAGAACATAAGTAAAAAAAAAATCTGAAGAGCTTGAAAAAATGGAAACTATATATATAGTAGAAAAGTTACGTCAACCCAGCTACGTTGCTCAGGGGTGTGAAAATCCACATTCCTGAGTGATGTAGTTAAGCCAACCTAATCCCCAGTGTAGACAGTACTAGGCTGATGGAAGAATTCTTCCGTCAACCTAGCTGCTGCCTCTCAAGGATTAACTACAGTGATGGAAGAACCCCTCCCGTCACTATAGTGAGTGTCTACACTGAAGTCCTACAACAGCACAGCTGCAGCAATTTAAGTGTACAGGTAGCCTCAATATATAATGAGCCTGATTTTTGTTTACACTAAGGCTCTTTTACCCCTTTGGCAGTGTACAGAAGCCTTAAAGAGGGAGTAAGTTGCAGTTAGCCATATACTGTATAGGGGCCTTAGTATAAATGAGAATCAGGCCTAATGTTTTAGCTGAGTGCGTACTGATGTGTTGGTGATTAGGGCTATTTTAGTTCTTCTCTCCTTCCTTTTTTCATCAGGGTTGAGATGATGGAGGGGGGTTGTGAGCCCACCAAAGAGGAAGATGCAACAGATGTTGTTTGTGGTCTGATTATTGAGCTCTCTAATCTCAAGTAAGAACATAATTTCTGTATCAGGGATGGTGCATGTAGAACTCTTCACAGCATGTGATTCTCTTGATTATTGACTGAAGGGTAGGAGGATTGATTCATTGCGCTTTATAATACAGACAGCTTCAGAGATTTGGTTTGTTTTAGTGTCAAATGTCTAGGTCTTTGTATGCCCTGTAAGAGATTGAACCTGCACAAGTCATGTGCACGGTTACATGGGCATAAGGGCAAGGTTAAAAAGTGATTAGTAGAGCAGGGAGCACAGGAGAGGGACTCCTGCACTAATGACAGAGCTACTGTGAGGCTACCATATCATTCCTAAAAAGAAAAGGAGTATTTGTGGCACCTTAGAGACTAACAAATGTATTTGAGCATAAGCTTTCGTGAGCTACAGCTCACTTCATCGGATGCATTCAGTGCAGTCCACTGAATGCATCCGATAAAGTGAACTGTAACTCACGAAAGCTTATGCTCAAATACATTTGTTAGTCTCTAAGGTGCCACAAGTACTCCTTTTCTTTTTGCGAATACAGACTAACATGGCTGCTACTCTGAAACATATCACTCCTGCATACCAGCAGGTTGAAACTACTGCTTACTGTGAAAGACTTCGTTTAAGATTACTTATGCTACAAACCTCCATTCACACTTGTGCTGGAGTGTAACAGCCTTACTACACACTCTGCTGCAAACCACACAGGGATTGAAGGGTCAAAGTTTATGGCATTGTCTTTGCTAGGAAAAAAAAGATACTTTTTCCAAAATCCTAGTGTACATAGAGCAAATTGTAATTACATAAGAATGACCATACTGGGTCAGGCCAATGGTCCATCAAGCCCAGTAGCCTGTCTTCAGACAATGGCCAATACCAGGTATTTCAGAGGGAATGAACAGAACAGATAATCATCAAGTGATCCATCCCCTGTCACCCATTCCCAGTTTCTAACAAACAGAGGCTAGGGACTCTTCAGAGCATGGTGTTGCATCCCTGCCCATCCTGGCTGATAGCCATTGATGGACCTATCCTCCATGAACTTACCTAGTTCTTTTTTGAACCCTGTTATAGTCTTGGCCTTCACAACATCCTCTTGCAAAGAGTTCCACAGGTTGATTGTGCATTGTGTGAAGAAATACTTCCTTTTGTTTGTTTTAAACCTGCTGCCTTTTAATTTAATTGGGTGACTGCTAGTTCTTGTGTTAAGAGGAGTAAATAACACTTCCTTATTTACTTTCTCCACACCAGTCATGATTTTGTAGATCTCTATCATATCCCCCTTAGTCACCTCTGTTCCAAACTCAAAAATCCCAGTCTTAACCTCTCCTCATGAAAGTTGTTCCATTCCCCTAAATAGTTTTTCTTGCCCTTTTCTGTACCTTTTCCAATTCCAGTGCATCTTTTTTGAGATGGGGCAACCAGATCTGCATCCAGTATTCAAGATGTGGGATACCATGGATTTATATAGAGACAATATGATATTTTCTGTCTGATTATATATGCCTTTCCTAATTATTGCCAATATTCTAATAGCTTTTTTTACTGCCCCTGCACATTGAGTGGATGTTTTCAGGGAACTATCCACAATAACTCCAAGATCTCTTTCTTTTTAACATGGGTTAGCTGATCAAAGTAAATCCTAATCTCTACTAGTTAGTTTTTTAGTGTAGACTGTCCACGGTCAGCCGCTAGCAGATAACATGTTAAAATACTTTTCCTGCCTTCATGATTTAAACCCCCCCCCCCCACTACTTTTATCACAGTGAAGACAAGGCCTGAGAGGGGAAGGGATTTCATTTATTTAAGCTCCCTATTTAGGAATTTGAATTAAATAAGTGCAAGTAAACAAACCATAAAATCTGAAGAGTTTTTACTTTTAGGCCCCATTCATCTTTAATCAAATGAGCAATCCCTTCCTTATTCACATGTTTAAAGGTAAGCACATGTTTATGCTGAATAGGGCCTAATGCTTTGTTAAGATTTTTTGCTTATTTGTACCTATTTAATATTTTGGAGAAAATCTCTCTTTGTGAAAGACACAACAAACCTGTTCTTTCAATTAAAGGTGATCTGCAAGGGAAAGAAAACCAGTATGTGAATTATAGAGTGTTCAGATTAATGAAGGACAAATTTGTGATCTTTATAAGAGTGGGTTTTTTTTAAAAGATATTTAGAATCTCATTTCTGCAGCTGTGTGGAGAAGTTTTTTGCTCATGTGAAACACATCTTGTTTTCATTCTTTCTAGTCGACTGATAATGAACACCCACAGGGATCTGGAGTCTTTAAAGAGGCTGAAGTACAGAAAAAGCAGACAGTCGGGAAGGTTTATTGCTCATGCCCTGAAGGGAGCGACAAATATTCTGTATGCAGTAAAAAAATGGAAGGAGATCTAGGACTGTGCATCAAATCAGAACCAAATAATAGCATTGTTTGGTTTAACGGTTTAAATGGCCAGAGGTTTTGTTCTGTTCTGGTGTTGCTTTTACTTTCCTACATTTGGCATTTTGTACCTTATTCTTATTTACACTAAGGCCCCTTGACACCACTCTAGCCATGTTAAGTCTCTTTTTTACTGCCAGAATTGAGTAATGAGGCTGTAGCATAAATGAGAATAAGGCCCAGTGTCTTAGAGCCAAATTCTTGCTGGCCACTGGCTGATTGCAGTACAGGAATAATATCCACCCATCTCCTGCCTCCCCAAAGGGCACATATACAGAGTTAAAAAAAAAAAACAGTTTTATGCTCAAATTCTGGTTGTAAACCCTTGATCTTTCCCTTCCAACCTTGTCCAGACTAGAATTTAAAGGTGAAATGTTGAGCCATTCTAGCTACCATGTCTGAGAAGCCTAGGGTAGACAAGGCAGCATATACATGCTAAACTGTTCAAGGTAAACCCTAGTCTCCCCACTTAAGACTTCATCTCAATCAGTTTAGCATGTGTTTAAGGTCCTAGATTTTTCAACATACCTTTCATCCTTATCTAGGCCAGGCCTCCATCACTTCTGCTATGGAGCCCTTGCAGAGCAGGCTTTCTTCATGTTTTCAGAGGAAACCAGAACTGAGGTGCTCTTTTCAGTCCTGTGACCCTGCAACAGCCTGGATTTGTGCTGTATTTTTCTGGTATAAATTATGCAAAACTTTGGCCCTTGAATTAAAAGTGAAACTGTTTACCAGCTGTTTTAAATCTATAAGGGATGGCAAACCTGAATGTTGATACTATTTATTTTCTTTCCTCTTTTCATTCTGTGTGCAATAAAATAAATACTAGTTGAACACAATCTTCATAATCCATGGATGAGTCTTCAAACATTTCAGTACTTCATTATCCCTATAATATCATGCACCATTGGTTTAAAAAAAAAGACAATTATATAATACATTTTTTTACTAGTGAAACAACATCACATTTTCAATAGAATGACAACCAAAAACTGGCAAATAAAATAACATTCAGAAATAACTGGCAAATAAAATAATATATATGTATAACATATAAAACAATTTTCAAAGAAAATAAAGGCAGGAAGACTTGAGACTCTGTGAGGGAAAAACAATCATTTCTTAAACACTCACCCACTTAACGTTAGCTGGTAAATTATTAACCTTGTTACCTAATGCCCCCTCAACTCAAATATGGGAACACCTAGCTTCTAAGAGCTATTGGATTGCTGTGTGAGCTTTCACAAATGGCCAGAGTGCTGTGTTGGAGTCTTCAGGCCAGGACTATTTTGTTGATATTCTTTCTCATTCCCTTCAACTGAATGACATAATTGCTCAAAGACTGAGGCAAATGCCATCAGCTTCCCAGGTGTAAGTCTTACCCCTCCATGAACTGGAACATCCAATGGAAGCCAAAGCAGGTATCTGTCTTGAATAGAAAGGTAAAATGGTCCTGTAGAATGGTAGGCAAGTTAATGATGCTGGGAGAATTCACCTCCATACTCTCTCCCCTTATTTGCCACTTCACTCCAAGAGCCAGATGGAATCTGGCTCCCAGACCTCTCTCCCCACATTGCCTGCATTATTCATGATATCTCTTTGGCTTCCTCCATGCCATCCTCCTCTACTGTTGATGCAGCTGGAGCAGCAAATGCCTGAAATGCCAGAGGAGGGACATCACCTGAGGCAGAGTTGGGAAGGTGAGAGGAAAAAGATGCCTCATTCTTTGGGACCTGAAAAAAATTAAGCAAATGTAATTCTACACCCCTTTTTTCCCTCAGAGCACAACATGTAATTATTGGGCTAAATCCTGACCAATTTAGGACTTATCTACATGAGAAAGTTCCATCAGTTGAATGAAAGTTTTTATTTTAAACTGGTTTAGTTAACCTAGTGCAAACCCCTGTATGGATACTTTGATTTTGGTATAAGGGTATGGAACCTTTTGTAACCTTTATGTTGAAATGTTTCCAATTAATATTAAGTTGTTAAACTTAATATTAAGTAGTTAAAAATGAGGATGCAATAAAACCAAACTCAGTTTTCGGGTTCAAGCCTCTACGTTGGTTATAGAAAATTTATTTAGTAGAGGACACAAGGAGGCACTTAGAATGATACAACCAAACTCTATTTAAAAGGAAAATGATAAGCAAGCAGAATTCAATTACTATTTACACAATATTACAGTTATACTTCACCTCAAGGATGAGATTGTGTATCAACGGGTGATCAGCTCCACTGGCAACAGAGTGAAGAAGGGCCTTGTAATCCTGGAACCTAATGATACCCTTCTGATGTTAATTGAAGCTCCTTTGCAATTTAGCAAAACTTCTCCTTTTATACTCAATTATAATATTAATTAGCATTAAACTGCCATTTACCATAATTATATTTCCACCACCTTCTTATTGGCTCTTTACATTACTTATTATTTAAATTAACATTTGCACCAATGTCCTTCCCATTCTATCAATATAGGTAATATTTTAATAAAACATTCATTAAAAACCTTGCTTAAATCAGTTATAACCAAAATGTAATGGTAACATAACCCCGGGTCCCATCCTGCTAACTCTTACTTTCACATAACAACACTCTGTCTCCAACTTATCTCTAACTTTCTCACACTAGCATCTTCAGTTTTCCTCTCACTAAGCCTAGTTTAGGCCCAAAATCTACCTGATACTTATTTCTTAACCCAAACTATCCTATAGACTGTCAGCTTGTTTTGAATTAAACCAATTCCTAAACCTAACGAAAAACCACTTTTTAAACAGTTGCAACTTCCTTGTGTATATAAGGCCTTACTCAGTTTTTACTTAGGCAAAACCCAGAATTCTGCCATCGTAAAAGTTTGAGTAAGGATTTCCGGATTTGGTCCTCTGTTTGGGAGTTATAATCCTTTCATGGCTGCTTTATAAAAAAAAGTCGCTTTGAGTTCTACAGTTGAAAAATTTATCATAAATATCAGTGACCTGGAGCAAAATAATTCTCAGAGTCAAGGCTTGTGACACACACAAGTTGAATCACTTTTAGTCAGTTAAAAAAAAAACATTTAAGTTAATACTATGTAAACCCCTATGAGAACACTCATAATGATTTAGACATACTTAATACTGATTTAGCTTGCACCAGCTAATGCAGACTTGAACCGATTTAACCTGACGGAAACCGCTTTATTTTGGTTTAAGAATAGCTTATTGGGATTCAGCTTAAACCTGTCCTAACTGACTTAAGATAAACCAAAACAAACCTTGTTTAAACCAACATAAGGCTGTGTCTACACTACAGAGACTATACTAGCATAGCCACATCATAGGAGCACCACCTACCCAAAGTTAGTTACATGACCTTCGAGGGAAGCCCCTGTTGACATAGCTGTATCTACAGTTTTGCATGTGGACAAGCCCTCATAGGTGCAAACTAAACTTCTATAAGCCAAGTTTAAACCGATATAGGAGTAGCCACACACAGTGTTGCCCCAGTTTAACTAAATCAGTTTATTTAAAATCATGCCTTCAGTATTTAAATTGGTGCAACTGTGTAGTTCTGGCCTCAGTCATTATAAATTATAGCAGCCCTCTCTTAGTCAATACTACCATCCTGTGGCCATTTCTTTAAAGTTACAACAACTGAAAAAAAAATCAAAGCCTACCCTTTCTCACTAGTATTAAAAGCATTTTTCCTTGTCATAAAATGTGTGGCTCTATGAATTCTAGGTTTATTTTCTCGCAGTGGTTAAACCTGGAGGCAAGGCATCAGGATTCCTGAGTGATATTCCCAGCTATGGGGACGAGTGTGGTTTAGTAGTTAAAGCAGGAAGAAGGTAGGCGACTCTATCCTATTCTCTCTTCCCAGCTCTGCTACTGATTCACTGGATAAACTTGAACAGTTCACTTTATCTCTGTGTGCCTGAGATTCCCCATCTTTAAAATGGAGATAATATTTATCCATTTCAGAAGGGGATTGTGAAGATTCCTCAGATGAAAAGAGCAATAGAAGTGTAAAGTATTATTACATTAAACACATGGAAAACTTTTCCCCAGAAAATTCACAGAGAAGCCCAGGGCTCAGCAATGAGACGGATTAACTAACGAGTGTTTTATTTTGCAGTAGAGAAGAAAAAGTCAACTAAAGTTACTCTGGATTTATATTGGTGGAACTGAATGCCAAATCTGGTCCTAAATGTTTAATTCGTGGATATGTGGGTACTAACACATGTCCATGATATTGTAACAATGTCCCAAAACATCCCCTCCTCCAAGGTAGAGAGGACAAAAACCCAATGATTATCCATTTGTGGTAGCAAAATTAGCCTGACAACACTCTGTGAAGTTGTTGACTTATCCCAGTTTTATTGATGTGTGAATTGAGGCAGAGAGGTGAAGTGGTTAGCCCAACAAGATCCCAGAGCAAGTTAGATCCTGTCTACACTGCAACTATAACCCAAGTCAGGGAGACAATGTGAGCTGTAGCTCACGAAAGCTTATGCGCAAATAAATGTGTTAGTCTCTAAGGTGCCACAAGTCCTCCTTTTCTTTTTGCGAATACAGACTAACACGGCTGCTACTCTGAAACCTGTAATTACAGGACAGTTGATCCTTGATTTGGCTACAATGCCATTAAAATCTGTTGTGTAGACAGAGCCGTAAGTGGGCTAAAGCTAGGAATAAAATTGAAGTCTACTTTCTCTCTCAGTCCTGTGTGTTATTCACAGTGCAATCCTCTCTTTCTTCTGGAAATTTCAGACAGGGAGCTGTTATCACTGGAATGCATGCCTGAGCCATGAACTTCCCACATATATTCATGGGGTTGATAATGCTGAGGTGATTGACATTAAACATTTTTTACTTATGAGAGTTCAGCAGCCACGGTATGCATCCGATGAAGTGAGCTGTAGCTCACAAAAGCTCATGCTCAAATAAATTGGTTAGTCTCTAAGGTGCCACAAGTACTCCTTTTCTTTTTTCAAATTTAAGTGGCATAGCTAGATTCTCAGCAAAAAATATGGGAAATAAAACGTTACCTGAGCATGGAGTCCAGGAGCTGAAGCCTTTCCATTTTAAAAGTCATTTGGCAGGGATGACGTATCGTCCTTGTTCCTTTCAGAAGGGGCACTGGGAGACCGACTCACCCGCTTTCCCACTGAATTCCTGGAGGAGCAGTTGTACACTGAGGTGTATCCCTTCTGGGTCAGGGGACAGAATCGTTTGGTGTGAGCTTTATCCTGTGTGGCCCCACACTGGGGGCAGATGTAATTACGCAGGATTGGACATTCCACCCGTCCCTTCTTGTCTTTTAAATTGTGCGCCATATAAATATTCCTTGACTCTCCATTGTGCTTGCAAAAAACACAGAGAGAATTTCCTGTCAGAGTCACTGGGGAAAGGTCTGTTCTGAATGTGGGACTGTCTACCTCATCTTCAGAGACAGCAGTCACCTGCAAGTTGTCCCATTTATTCTGCTGTTTTTGTATCTCTTCCACCACTTTTGCCAGCCCCAGATAGTCCTTCCACATGTCAAACATCTGAATATCCTGCATCTTGTAACTCTCAAGATGGCTCTTAGTCCCTCCCCGAATGTGTTTGGGGAGTAAATAGCAAAATGTGCTTTTACTTTATAAAAGGGCCATCAGAGGTCTCTCCAAAGGAGCCAATCACATCTTTGGAATCCTACCTGACAAATATAGTCAGTCCCCTCCCCCATCAGTCAGCCTGGAGCCAATGAGTCTGGTTGCTTTTTTGTCTTCATCCTTTTTCATTTTAAAGGGTTATCTCAAAGAAAAGTTCTAAAAGACAACTGTCCTGCAACATTACCTTGTCACATGTTTAGGTGCTTGTTTTTTAAAAAAATATTGAAATGAAAGGTAAGCTATTCTTACAATAATACAGTTTTTACATTTTGGAAAAAAAAAACAAAAAAACATTACCTTGTCAGAAAACCTGGGGTTTAAAGTCACAAAAATCTGTGACTTTTAGACCAAGTATTAAGAATTATATAGCTTTGTAACAATGCTGAAATTTCAAAGAGATTTTTTAGTGGCAAATAGGACACGGGCTAAACGTTTGATTGTAAATGCTGCGGCTTAAACTCCATTTCTGCTGAATTTCTCATCAAGCTCTTCTTCTACTATTATTACCTTGACTTTTGCAACTCCCTTCTTTAAGGCTTTCCCATTCCCAGCTCTCTAGACTCCTTAGCACTGGACACTTTCATATATACAAAAAGTGGATCAGCTACACCACCAACTGCATCTTTGAACACAGGCTGACCAATATTGTCCATTGTTCACTTGTACTCCCCTGTCTGTGGCCTGGTCTACACTAGGAAATTAGGCACTTACATCACTCAGTGACGTAAAAAATCCTCACTCCTAAGCAAGGCAATTAAACTGACCTAACCCCCAGTATAGACTGTGCTCAGTCGATGGGAAAATTCTCCTGTTGACCTAGCTACCACCTCTTGGGGAGGCAGAGTACCTATGCTGACAGGAGAACCCCTCCTGTTGGTGTAGGTTGTATCTTCACGGAAGCGCTACAGCGGCACTGCTGCAGCGTCGTAAGTATAGACGAGCCCTTAATCTATCTCTTGTCTCATACTTGGATTGCAAACTCCTTGGGGCAGGGACCATCTTTTGGTTCTGTGTTTGTACAACACCTACCACAATGAGGTCCTGTTCAATAACTAGGGCTCTTAGATTCTATAATAATACAAATAATAATAAATCAATTTCCCTTGCTCTATATTTATTTCAAGATCCAATTAAAAATTGCCTCCCAGACTGCTGAACTTTTATACCTCTGAACAAAAATCTGTTATGATTTGATGTTTTGGTAATTAATGTAAATATTTCTATTGATCTTAGATTTAAAAAAACAACAACTCTCGGCCCTGTCCTCAGCTGGTGTAAACTGTCATAGTCAGCTATAGGAGCTAAACCAATTTATGCCAGGTTTGCCCCCCCTCCCCCACTCCATTTTAGCAAGACTTTTTGAATTTTGGGCCTAACTATTTTGGACAGTCTTTGTAAACTTGCATTCCCATTGTCAAATTTTACAGGGCCTAATCTTGCAGTCCTTACTCAAACACAGGAGTTTTGCTGAGTAAGGACATGTGTGATTGGGCCCATAATGTTCATATTCCCTTCTACCTAGGAAATGTTCTCTTGGCTTTTCATACCCAAACATTTAGGTACTGGAATTCATCTGTTGAAATCTATCCACTGCAACAATGAGGGAACCACAGCAGATTTCCATCTCATTAGAATTGATTTTCAAGCTGCAGGAGACCTGACTATAAAAATTGCTTTTCACGGAACAACTGAAATACTTTTCGTATGCTCAGGTCTCCTTTGCAAAATAACTAAATAACAGGCACATAGGATGAAATCCTGACTGCAGACAGATCTGAGTTCGCTGCTCTAACCACTAGACATGTTCCCTGCCATTAAATTGTGACTCGCCATTTTTGGTTTCAAATTTATAGTCTGACCAACAGGATTGACAAAACTGCAGCCAATTCTGCTAGGATTGTCATCCAAAATCTTAAGAATAATATTAACTTCTCAGCCAACGCTTCACAAAACATCTGCCACCTCAGTCTCACTGTTTTAATATGTTTCAGTTCATACTTATAAATGAAGATCTTTGCAAGACTTACAATGCTGTCTACAAGTATCTGAAACACCAAGGTGAAAAAAGGATTATTTAGGATAGTCCGAGGAGTTGTGACATAAATAATAAAAGGAAATTTAAGATGAGTATCTGAAAATACAAGTCCTAATGGTAAAATTAGTGGAATAATCTCCCCAAGAAAAGAGGAATTATCTATCTATCCTGTTTTACCATGCTCATCACTGTAGTTTCTGAATGCTTATCTAAGCCCTGTTGCTCAAGTCTTTTAAAACTACACAGAGCACTTGACAATAGACTGCAGAGAACAGGCATACACTAATTGAGATATAGACTAGCTGAGGATAAAGCCCTAATACGTCTTTTATATTTAAATTTTATGATAATTGAAGTTAATGGCAGATGCAAGCACCTATGAAAATCAGTCCACTATTTTTTGTTTTTTAAAAGTATTATTTACTTCACAAGGACTTTGAAATTCTCCAGCCTTTGTCTTGCATGCCTATATTGTATTTAGATTATCATTTCCTGAAAGGTCCTAAGCATTCCAAATGAAGTGATGTCCCATCCCTTTGTCAGCAAAAGGTCAGAAGACAAGGTCATTCCCATGTGATGTGTCCATTCCAATCACAGTTGCATTCATTGATCAGTGAGTTTTTCCTTCAACAACACAACCCACCGACAGCAATGAATGTTGATTGTGACTTTTTGGGCTTGTAAGAATCTGTCTGCAAGCACCATAGGAACGGAGTTGGGGCACTGAGATTAAGCATATATAACATATTCATGCTTATATAGCAGGAAGATCTCAAAGAACTTTAAAAACATTAATTAAACCTATATAGGAAGGGCAGTATTATTCCTATTTTATAGATAGGGAAACTGAGACACTACTCACTGATTTTATTCCAGAATAATTTATTCTTCTTTGGAAGTACACTAATTATTCTAGCATAAAATTACTTTTATTCTGGAACAAAGTGTCCATACAGGGAGCTACTCTGCAATAATAATTGCAGAATACCTTATTTCACAATAGCTATTCTGGTCAATTTCCCTATGTAGACAAGTCCCTTGTCTAGACAACGTCTTGGTGGCAGACACATGAGCAAGAGGAACAGTCAACTCTGTTTGACTTTAGCCCACGAATGTGCGTTCTGAATGCCTCACACTAGCTGAGCTGTGATACCCACATAAGTGGTTGCAACTGTGCAGTTTAGAACAGGAACTGTCTTCAGGAGCAGAAATACTTTACCCTTTGGGAAAGGCATTGTGGATTTATGATTAGGGAAGGGGATTTTGAATAAGGAGTCCTGAGCTATTCTGCAATAGTTAGTCTACTCATTTTCCCTTTATAGACAAGCCCTAGGAGCTAAAGGTCTGATATTAGATTGTTAGCTAACTCAACGTAATTAACACCTTCTAACCAAGACAAAGTAATTGTATTTTAGAATGTACTAAGCTGTTTGAGTGAAGACCTTGTGGGAGACCTGGTTTTAAACCCAAACCGTTCAATTCAGCTGCTGCTACTCAGGCTGCAGGGTACACTCAACGGTCGATGGTTTAGCCTTACTAAGAAAACTCACCGACAGCGTTGAATGTTCACTGAAACCTTTGCATCTTTGTAGTTTAGGCCACATGCATTGCTGGACATTTTGAGTCTTGGCACACAACAGACAGCTTTGCCCTCCTTCTGTTATTTCCCCCACTTCCTATCCCCAGTCCAATCCCAAATACAGCTGTCGTTGTCATTCTTCGTTCATTCTGCTTTGACCATGTCTCCTGACTCCTTAAATACACATGTAGCTTCCATATCTCTTACTTGCTTCTCCTCACCTGGACTGCTCAGTTCCACATATATTTCTGCCTTCATCTCATCCTGTATTCCTCCCCACTCCTTACATTCCATTCAAGCTACCGTTCTCACTGCTTCTTTTTGGTATGTCCACGCATCAAAGCAAAATCCAGGGCTGGCCCATGCCAACTGACCTGGCCTCTCAAGGCTCAGGCTGTGGAGCTGTTTCATTTCTGTGAAGACTTCCGGGCTCGGCCCTGGAAGTGTCACAGAGCGTAGCTAAAAGCACCTCTTCACCCAGGCCTCATCTCAGTACCATTGCATGGCGACTTCCGCTGACTCAAAGCATTGTGCCCCAATATACAGTGTAGAGAAGCTCAGAGAAACTCAGGCTTGGTCTACAACAGCCCCCCCCCCCCCCCCCCCCAGCTGTCAGCCAGGCACAGAGCTCACAGCTGGAGCTCCTGCCCCTCACACTGGGGTGACAGCCCCAGCTGTGAGCCCTGGGCAGGACTCCATTTCACAGGGCAGAGCCTAGCAGCCTTTCTTGTCAATTTCAGGGCTCCAGCTGTGAGCCCCTGGCTGCTGTTCTGAGCCTGAGGCTGCCTTGAAATTGACAAGAAAGGCTGGTAGGCTCCCTACTATGAAATTGAGCCCTGGGCCTGGCTCACAGCTCTGGCTGTCACCCCGGGGTGGATGGGGGGCTCCATCTGTGAGCCCTGTGCAGCTGTCTGTGCCCCACAGTGCCCCAGTTCAGTTGGTGCTCCTGGTGAGGGCACACACCATTGGCAGAAGGAGGGTAGTGTGGACACCAACAGCCAATTGACTTACTGCTATGGCTGTAGGTCGACCTAAATTAGTTGACCTAGTTTTGTAGTGTAGACAAGCCCTCTGTAACCAGACAGCAATGATACTGTTTTATAATGCTCATATTCGCCCCTTAGGTACTGTGGTCAGAGAGAGAGACAGAGTGAAGTGCACACCGTAGTGGGTAGAGGCTTCAGCACCAATTCAACACCTTATCCATACTGACTGCATCTGGCTTTGGGTTCCCCTTCTACAAGGAGAAGAATGACTGAGGAGCTTGCAGATACGAAACTCACTGCTGGGCAGAGACTACTTGTGCCTGCCGATAAGGGGAGAGCAGAATGAGGGCAGCTGGCTTCAGCACTGTTACTGAGCATGCTCAATACAAGCCAAGCAGCAAATCTGGGGGGCATGTGACCCTGCATCCCCATTCACTGTCTCTGGCTGGCTTTCTCTGTACAGTAGATCTTGGGTTTCTTCTTGGGAATTCCAGCAATGCTAGCATTCAAGCTCCTCACATCAACACCTCAGCAGATGGCGTTCCATGGTGTTCCATTCCCTGCATAGAAGAGAAGTCTGATGAGAAATGCTAATACAAGATAGAGCAACATGTCCCTAGTGAGAAAAGGCCTTCCTACCTTAATCACTCTGGGATGAATTTCCTTCTCTGGAGGCTCACATCCATTTCTGAAGAGTTTATGATTTCCTATAAGGGAAAAAAAAATCACATTTCTAGCCCTCCGGTTGTGCAGAAAATCTTCCAAATGCAAACACATGCCAACTTGTCTGAATCTACAGCGGGTAACAGCACATTGAGGGAAGTCTGAAGGGAAGTCTCATCTCAATGAGGTGTTGATGACAAAGCTTAATGCTGAGGATTTAAAGAGCAATTTTAGAGACCATTAAAGGCATTTAATTATTTCACTGCTGATCAATTTTGCAGAAATACTATTGCCACAGGCAAGAATGTAGACAAACTGCTACAATCAAGTTACATGTGTTAAACTGGGTTAAACTGTGTACGTTGGTGTTGTGTGGGGTATTCAGTTGAATGAAACTAAACTCTCAATCTCAGCTGAGCCAGCTCAGTTGAAAAAAGTGAACACACGGCAAGTTGTAGTTTGAACAAGTGCTAGCTGGTCAAGCAAAACCCTAGTCTTCCCCATAGCTATAGGGTGCATCTTCTCTAGGGGAAAAGTGTGTTCTTAATTATTGTAAACTAGCACATGGTAACTAACATGAGATAAAATCCTAGTGAAGACAAGGCAATGTGCAGTTTTAACACAAGGTCAAAGTAAACCCTTGTGGGCATAGGGTATAGGCATCCCCATAATCTTTACCTTGATCTGTTAACCCACATATCTGTGCCTCACTTTACCCATCTGTGAAACTGCTGTTATTATCCATACCTAGCTGATAGAAGAGTTTCAGTATGAGATTAATTTAACTGACATCTGTTATACTCTTTGAGATCCACAGATGAAAAATGCCAGACTAGAGGAGTATTATCCTACTTCCCCTGCTCAACGTATTTGCAGAGTAGAAATGTATGCTGTTTAAGAATCCAATCCTGCACACTCCTGAAGTCACTCAGCTCCTGCTGAAGTCATTGAGAGCCAAGGGCCACTTACAGCATGCATCCGATGAAGTGAGCTGTAGCTCACGAAAGCTTATGCTCAAATAAATGTGTTAGTCTCTAAGGTGCCACAAGTCCTCCTGTTCTTTCAACATCAGGCAAGGCATGACCCTAAAATAATCTGTTTGTGCATTACTTTATCAGTACCAGCAGGTGGCAGTGCAGCCCAGCCATCCCATCCCTTGGTAGCAGCAGCAGATCAGAATGATGAACCTCTCAGGCGGAATCTGTCTCTTGCTATATTTTTGTATCCATTCAGAAAAATGTTCCCGATTAAGAGAATTTAAAAGGACTAGAAATTACTCTGTGCAGCCAGTAGGTGTGCAGGGTTGAGAGTTTTAAAAAACGTTTTATGTAATATTAAATATATATGGAGACCCTTTCATCTTGAAAAATTCCAGTATGCTTTACAACTGAAGACCCCATGCTGTTCTTACCTACACAGGAGCAAAAAAGCCAGTGGAATTGGCTAGGGATGAATTCAGATACCACTGTGATGAGCAGGGTATAAAAACATAGGTCAGATAGAATAGATTACATTAGATAGAGGCTGCAGTTATGCAATATGCTTCTCTCAGCCTCTGGAAGCCCCTTCCCAGACGTAGAGCAGAGTTGGGGTACTGTGGGTCAGGAGGGAATGTGTCATGAGGGGGATGGGCAGCAACTACTTGACATGGCATGCTCCCAGAGCATAGCAAATTTCACAGGGGAAATCTGCACAGGAGTTAATGTTGCTCCAGCTGCTGGTGGAACTAGAGGAGTGGTTCCCAAACTGGGGTTCGTGAACCCCCAGGGGTTCACGAAATGATACAGGGTGTTCTTGTGAAAAAATTCCCTAATGACAGAGCTGTCACTAGGGACCCCGGGCAGCACGGGGCCAGCAGCACAGAGCCCCTGGACTTCCAAGAGCTAAGCAGATGAAACAAAGCATATCTATCACACTGAAAGAAAAGGAGGACTTGTGGCACCTTAGAGACTAACCAATTTATTTGAGTATAAGCTTTCGTGAGCTACAGCTCACTTCATCGGATGCATTCAGTGGAAAAACCGATGAAGTGAGCTGTAGCTCACAAAAGCTTATGCTCAAATAAATTGGTTAGTCTCTAAGGTGCCACAAGTCCTCCTGTTCTTTTTGCAAATACAGACTAACATGGCTGCTACTCTGAATCCTATCACACTGAGGAGATTTAAACTTCAAGACTCCTTATAAGAAAGGGAGGTGAATATTTTTTGCTGTTTTTAAAATTAAATAGGCAGCTAATATTGTTTTTAACATTATTATGAAGAACAAGTTTCAGCTTTGTTGTAACATGCGTTGTTTGCCTGGACTGCTCAAGACCTGAATGCTTGTGTAGGGGGGACTCTGTGAGTTGACTTCTTGAATACCTTTGTGGTTTTTCACGTCTGATACTCCTTGGTGAAACACAGGAGCCTTATTCAAGGTGATACAAGCTACGAAAGTGAGATCTTGGAAGAGTGTTGCTGTTTTTATAATGTAATTAAAATACTGTAATGATAAATAATAATAAATAGTGCATAATCAGCATGTCATAAAAAACAAATTTTATATTTCCAAGATCACTGCTTTTATAATTTATACTCAGATAAAGGAGAAAATCCCTGGAAATACTCATTTTTAGGAGGGGGTTCACAAGACATGACATTTTAGTGAAAGGTGTTCACAGGTTCTTAAAGTTTGGGAACCATTGAACTAGAGCAGTGCTGCACCAAATACCTGTGCGTGCTTTTCGGACCACATTCTTTAGGAGCTGTAGCCAAGTTGGTGGGTGGGATGGTATAGAAAGGCACCATACCGCAGCTGATGCCAGAGGCAGTCTGTCTGGAGGACAGAGGCAGGCACCATACTTCTAGAAGGGGCACTAGAGGAGCAGCTCCAGGGATCATCCACTGGACAACAGCCTTAAAATATGCATCCCCTCTGGCTGCCATGCAGTGCAGAAAGGGGCTGGGCCGTACCCTGCAATCCCCCCGACTTGGGAGTGTCTAGCACTGCAGTGCCTGCTAAGATGCCATGGAATGGACACTTGCATTCATGGAGTGCAAGCACCAGGAGTATGGCCCCAGTAGGAACAGTGTTCCCTGCATCTTACTCGTAGACGGGGAGTCAGAATCTGTGTCTTTACACAAAACCTAAAACACTGGGCCTGATCCTCAGCTCTCATAAAACAAATGAACTCCATTGAAGTCAACAGAGGAGCTATGCTGATTTGCACCAGCTGAGGATCTGGCCCTGCAAATACCCTTGTAAAGTGCAAACAGGTCACATTCTGCCCTCACTTCCACCTGGGTATCTTCCTTGAAGTGAGTGGGATTAAATGGACTCTGGCCATTTAGAATAAATCCAGCAGCTCTTCTTTTTCTTTTGAATTTTGTTGCACACTCTGATTTCTTTTAAAATTCTAGCTCTGCTCTTTCCATTCCTTCTTACTGTGGAGATGTCTTGGTTACAATATGTCAGAGAAAACCATGGGTTTATATTAACAATATGCAAAGATGTTCAAAAAGTCACTTTCTCTGTTTTTTGCCGGCACAAACATCTTCTTCCCCCTCCCCCTCAAGCCACGTGACAGGTTCTGTGCAACCAGTTCCATAAATTTCAGCCAGATCCAGTGTGTCACATATTTAATGCAGCCCTTGCCTGCCTCTTGCAATCTCTTTACATAAAATCCTCCAAGTATTACCCAGCAACATTGAGACAGCCTTCAGCTTCCCTTACATTAGTCAAACGTGGCGTGTACGAGCATGGTGTGGGATAAGCCCTTCCATTCCAGTGCTGTTCTAGGGGTTTCTTTTCAGACCACTTTGTTGCCTCATGCAGGGGTGGATTATGGGCCGCTGTGGCCCCTGGATCTAGTGCAAACTCAGGCCTCACTATGTCCTCCCCAGAATCCCACAGGAAAGGGAATCAAAATGCCATTGATGAAAGCCTGGCCCCATCAAAATCAATGGGGCCATTGACTTCAGTAGGGTCAGTATTTCACCCTATGTTGATAGGCTTTACAAGTGATAGATGATAAATCCACAAAAGGGTTTATATACAAATGATGGCTAGATAGATAGATAGATGCTCTCCCCACCATCCTCCATCTATATGGAGCTTTATGGTTCCGGGTGGAGTGTAGCTTAGAAGAGAGGAGCCAAGAGATGGCTATTCCCTCCACAGCAACACCTTTTTTCGATCCCACTGGAATTATCTTGCTCTTGCAACTCCCTCGTGCTGACAAACCTTTCCCCTCATGTCTAGAAATATTTAGGGGCCAGCAGCAAGCTCAAGATGGATTTGACTGACTGCAGATACCAGGCCCCGGTCATACAGGAAAGCGTGGATGGGGGCTGAGGGAGGGAGCAGGGCGTGGTTAATGGGGTGTGTTACTGGCAGGGATTCATTGGACCCTGGATTGGCCAGAAATTGCTGTCTCCATTGATTTAGGGGTAGCACTTAGCTCTGATCAATTGATCTGTTGCTCCCTGGCCCATCCTTCATCCACGCCACTGCTGCTGCTCTGAAGTTCCCAGTAATCACAACTGATGCCAAGTGATGATGGCTGGGCTTGGGGTTGAAGAGAAACAAATCTCTGCAAATATATGTTTCCCTGGCTAATTCTGGGGGGAAAGGGATGAGTGTCTTTCCAGATTCTCCTCCATTTACTGACCCATCATCAGACTAAAAAGCTTGAGTCACATCCATCCTGTCTTCCATGACAGGTAAATGTAGCTGGCTCAGAAACTGCTCAATACTGCTTCTGAGTCAGCCAGAGATTAAGGGAGGCAGGACAGGGAGCAATGCAGGGCCTCACCTCAGCAGAGACTGTCAGCTCACAGTGATCCCAGCCCCTGTCAAGGCAGCATATGAGCTACCTGGATTTCTAACCTGTTTGGGAAGGGCAGTGGAAGTAACCTTCTTACCTTCCTGAGGGCTGCAGGGATGAGATGGTATCGGCCCAAAGTGAAACAGCAGCCTCTGTGTGTCCAAATGAACTTGCATCATGTCTCTTTTAGAAGGCAAAGAAAAAGTATCACTGCAATAAAGAAACAACAATATCTATGTAATAAGCATTCCAGTCCCTGCTGGCGTTCCCCCGCCCCACTCTTTCTCCACAGTATCCTATCAAGTACCCTTATCTTTCCAGGAGTGTTGGCTTAGGGAGGAGTCTGGTCCAGTGATTAGAGCAAAGGGAGTTCTTGTAGATTCTGTACCTGGCTCTACCATTGCCTACCTGTGGACAAGTCCCTTCACCTCTCTGTCCCACAGTTCCCCCATTCTATAAAATGGGGGTGGTAATACTGATCTACCTCTGGAGGTGGGTCAGTGCATGTTCATTCATTCATTTTTGTAAAGGGCTTTGAGATCCTCATAGGAAAGGAACAATGGACACACAAAGTATATAAGGTATCTATCAAGGTGCAGTTTGAGAGCAATGTCCTCAGACAGGCATGGGGAGGAGTAGCTACATGAGAATGGCCACACTGGGTCAGACCAAAGACCCATATAGCCCAGTATCCTGTCTTCCGACAGCGGCCAATGCCAGATGCCACAGAGGGAATGAACAGAACAGGGAATCATCAAGTGATCCATCCCCTGTCGCCCATTCCCAGCTTCTGGCAAACAGAGGCTAGGGACACCATCCCTGCCCATCCTGGCTGATAGCCATTGATGGACCTATCCTCCATGAACTTACCTAGTTCTTTGTTGAACCCTGTTATAGTCCTGGACTTCACAACATCCCCTGGCAAGGAGTTCCACAGGTTGACTGTGCGTTGTGTGAAGAAATACTTCCTTTTGTTTGTTTTAAACCTGCTGCCTATTCATTCCATTTGGTGGAATGTTAGTGCTCTTTTGTCACAGCACTTCCATCTCAGAAACGTAGGCTCTGGAGGAACTGGGAGGTCCCTTAGGCAGGTCGACACTTCAAAAGCTGTAGCACTTCAGTGAAGATGCTACTAGGCAGACGGGAGAGCATCCCCCGTCTGCGGAGTTAATCCACCCCATTAGAGGCAGTAGCTGTAGCAGCGGGAGCAGCTTTCCCATCGACACTGTCCACACCAGGGGCTCAGTTGGTATAACTACGTCACGCAGAGCTGTGGATTTGACACACCCGGAGTGATGTAAGTCTGCAGTAGAGACCTGGCTTTAGGGTATGTCTGCACCGCAATTAGCCACCCGCGGCTGGCTTGTGCCAGCTGACTTGCACTGACTCAGGCTGCAGGGCTGTTTAATTGCAATGTAAACTTCCGGGCTTGGGCTGCAGCCCAAGCTCTGGGATCCTCCTACCTTGCAGGGTTCTAGAGCCTGGGCTGGAGCCAGAACCTGGAAGTTTACACTGCATTTAAACAGCCCTGCAGCCCGAGCCCCATGAACCCGAGTCACCTGGCACAGGCCAGCCGTGGGTTTTGAATTGTAGTGTAGACATACGCTCAGAGCCAAAGGAGCAGCTTCATATCATTGCCAGAGGGATTCTAGCTGAGAGGGCCATGGTCTCTGGACTAGCTGTGAGCTCCTCCCATGGCCAGCATTCCTGCACCATTCCCTACAGTACTTCTTGCTGGGAGAAGATGGAAGGGGAGTAGCAGGGACTTCCCCTCACAGCTGGCTCTCTGACATTATTCTCTACAGAGGAATGGAGTAGCTGTGAGTTTTATTTAAGTTCTTGTGCTGTGCTCATCACTGTAGCATCTAGGTGCCAACTCCCCACAGCCAGCATCCGGCTGCACTGTCCACTTTGTCTTCTGCAGTTTCCACAGTATGCATCCGATGAAGTGAGCTGTAGCTCACAAAATCTTATGCTCAAATAAATTGGTTAGTCTCTAAGGTGCCACAAGTACTCCTGTCCACTTTAGTGCCTTCTGCTAGGAGAGGCTGGGATTGCAGTAGCCAGGAGCACCCCTTACAACCATCATTGAAATATTACCTGCTGCTGGGAGTGGCTGGGTCTCAAATTGCTGTGATCACAGAGACAGCACTCCTGTTCCATGCGCTGCAATGAATATCCCACCAGGCTGTAAGGGGGATAGATGTCTTCTGTTGAGAGTATTGTGGACAAGAGTTGCTTAACTATTTATTAATTTAAGCACATTCTATGTATGTATTCAAGTCCTAATGCTCCAGTGAGAGTTCCTTATATACCTGTATATGTCTTTCTATAAAGGAGATTATGGAGATGGAAGGCAGGAGAGGTCCAGAAGGGAAACAAAGGAATGTCAAAGAAAAATCAAAAGGAAGATAAAAGGGATGCCCGTGGCCTTTCGTGCAAGGGCTCCATTCCTCAGTAGACAGCTGTGTTCACTTCACACTCGACAGTCCATCAGAAATGAATGAGAAGGGATAAGTGCCTGGAAGATTTGAAGGAGTTTGTCTAGACACAGCCTGCCTGCTGCAGTGAGACACTGCATTTAAACATCCAGCAAGCTTTTCATGTTGCTCATTTTTAAATGCTCTTCTATAGGATTTCCTTCCCCACCCCTGACCCTTACCCTTCACTCTCTCTCTCTCACACACACACACACACACCAGCATCTCTCTTCTTGAGCCAAGGGAGTGCAGTCTCAATAGATGGAATAACCTTGGGAGATTTTCTTTCAGAGGAGGAATTATACAGTGAGACCCACATTATTCCCCCATAGTAGATATTGTCAGTAGGTTCTTCGCACGCATTGTGTGAGACGGTATGGGAGTGCCAATGCAAGGATCATATTAAATTCATGAGGGGCTGAGATAATTAAGGGAGTGCATCCTTTCTGATCCACCCTCCCTCAGCTGACAAAAGAGAGAAAAGAAATCCCTGAGCCTATGGGGCCAGAAATAATTTGGCCCCCGGGCAGATGAGGTCTGCAGAGAAGGAACAATGTCAAAATAAAACTCATGTGCTTAGTTCTGCCCATGGTGACAACAATGTAAATCCTGCAACATTACCCTGAATTTACACTAGTGTAACTGAGAGCCCCAGTTTCTTTTAACACCTGAGATTACTCAAAGGATTTTAAAGAACATTTACATTTACTTTTCTCCCTTTTGGCTGTTTGTTTATTTGTTTGCACTTCACTCAGCTGGAGATGGTGCTAATAGGCTAGTTGGTTTCACTTTCTTGTCAGTTTCAGTCTGTTTCTCCTACTACACTACACACTAATATATCATTGAGTTTTGGATCTCAGCAATTCAGGGGACAATTGAAACTGATAATACTAACAGTTTTCAATGATTTTTAAAAAATGTCATAAAAGTTTCATATGGCATTGGGCCAGATTCTCCTTTCAGACCCATGCAGTTCAATGGAAGCCAGTAGGGTTGTGCAAAGTGTAACTGACAAAAGGATTTGTCTCTGTAACCAACAAAAAAAAAAAAGGTACACCCCTGTTACAAAAATAATCCTTCTTTTATAGTTTCATAGGCATTGCTGTCTAGTGGTTAAAAGGGACGAGGCAGACAACCAGGGACCTGTATTATAAACCCAGATTTGAGAGGAAGCGGGTAGTGCAGGGAGCTGGGAGTTTGAACACTTTATAGCTGGAATGTAAAGTCAGCCAAATTCATATTAGGCTATGTCTACACTACAGACACAGCGGCGATAGCTATGTCAGCAGGAGAGCATTTTTTCACACCCCTGAGAGACAAAAGTTTTACCGACAAAAGTGCTTGTGTAGATATAACCTGCTTATGCTCAAATAAATTTGTTAGTCTCTAAGGTGCCACAAGTCCTCCCTTTCTTAGAAATAAGGTGCACATTTGTAACAAGGAAGGGGATTAACCATTGAAACAAAGTACCAGGGTAGTGGCGGATTCTCCAGCTCTTGAAGTCTTCAGATCAAGACTCGATGCCTTCCTGGAAGATATGTTTTAGCCAAACACAAGTTACTGGGTTTAATAGAGAAGTAACTGGATGAAATTCTGTGGCCTGTGTTATTTAGATGAGCTAATGGACCCCTCTGGCCTTAAACACTACTGTTCCATATACTCTGGTAGGGTATGTGTTCTAGTGGTTACAGCAATCAGGACTCTTGAGTTCTGTTTCTGACCCTGCTGCTGACTTGTTGTGTGATCTTGAGGCAAACCTCTGTTTCTGTGTCTTCAAAATGTGGATGTTAATATTTTGCTTGCCTGCCTCACAGGGAAACTTAATTAAAGAATGTTTATAATGTGCTGTGAGATCTTTGGATAGAAGGTGCTTGTTGAAATACAAAGAAGTTGCCTCGGCCTGGCACTGGCAAATTAATGCCAAGGAAAGAAAAGCCAGCATCATATTCAGATAACCTATGCTTAGGTCTTTGTTATTGTTGCAGATGGGTCTGTGTATGTGTGTGAATATGTGGGAATGGGGGATATGCATGTGGAGCCATAACTGTCGCTTACTACATAGCTTATCAGCGTCTCGTTGTTATGTTGGGATCCCCCTGCCTTTTTGTTGTCTCCATCTGCTGTCTCCTGTCTTACCGTGTGTTTTCATTAGGGAAAACGGTGTTTCCTGACCACGTGTTAGCTAACGCAGTAACTAGTGAGGTAAAATCCAAGGGAAGACAAAGTAGTTTGCAGTTCTCACACGAAGTCAAGGGGAAGACTCCATGGGAGCCTAGAACGCATCTTTTCCCTAGTGAAGACAAGGCTTTAGATTGTAAGCTCTTCAGCTCAGAGACGTCTTTTAGTTACGTTCGTGTGGCACCGAGCACAATGGGCACTACATGTAAGCGTGCATGAGGGGGACAGGCAAGCTACCCTCCCTAAGATTCCTACTCCCCATCCCTGCAATCACAGGCTCTGAATCTTGGTCTCATGATACTAGATCGAAGACTGGGGGGAACTAATCGCAGGAAACAACATAAGGCCTTCTCTCCAGGAATGACAATACATTGCACAGCCTCTCCTCCAAATAAGCTGGAGGCAAGATGAAACCTCCTTTTCAGGACCCAGTCTCTCCCTCCCTCCCGATTGTGTCTCCTGAATGTATAAGGTGATTGGAAATGACACCACCTGTGCAGTAATTTAAACCAGGATTAAAGACAATCTAAAATCCAATCTAAAAACCTAAAC